TGTGTGTGTGTGTCTATGTATTATTTCTTTCAATAGTATTGTTCTCAATGTATGTATTTCTCTAATGTATTGTACCAATCTATGCATTTGGCGAGCCATATGTTATAATTTGCGAATGTATGGACAAACAGCCTTTAAAATCAATAAAATCAACTAATCTTTATTTTTAAAAAATTCTACATAAGAGGATAAGAGGATGGCCGGCGTGTGCTAACAGATTGCTGGTGTTTGGTGAATATGTCTTGTCATCATTGTGGAAATACAGTGGGAGGAACGTTTTCAAACTCTGCGGCTCTTCGATGAGCAAATCGCAGTACTCACCCTTGAAGATCCTTTTGTTCTTGTATTTTTTGGACAGTTTGAATGGTTTATTCAATGTCAGAAGTTTTCCTCCAATCTTTGCACATTTCTTTGAAGCACCAATAAAGTTCCTGTGGAACAAAAAGAAAATTAGTAAGATGGTCAACAGCTGGCACAATCAATGTCTCTCAGCTTTCGTCTTGGTGTCATGTTGATGCGATGCTGAATTTTGCGCAAACGACGGCTTATATTGCCACCAAAGTGAGAACAGTTCGAGGCCATACGTCCGTTTATCACGTGCACCAGAAATTTAACTGAGGAATTTATATGGTGTCGCACACAGGTCGAAAAAAACCCAGGAAATCTTGCTAAAATTCCCCGAGGATTTCCGTGCTGCACGTGGCGGTTTTGCCACTTTAGGAAGCTTTTCTGTGCGCACTGGTTACCCATTAACACTTTCAGAGCATAACATTTTGAAACATTCCTTGTGGTCTTTTTTCGGATATTTTTAAAGATAGGGCTGTCCTTCAAGGTGGTCCTTAACTTATGATGAAGTCTATAGTTAAGTGTGTAAAGCGAATAGAGCTTTCTGTAGAGTGGGTATATGCGCTTTACAAATGTTTACTATTCATCATCATCATCATCATCGTCTTCATCAACATCATCATCATCATCATCATCATCATCATCATCATCATCATCATCATCATCATCATCATCATCATCATCATTTTCTTCTTCTTCTTCTCCTTCTCCTCCTTCTTCATCTTCTTCTTCTTGCCTCTTCTTCTTCTTATTTTTCTTCTTCTTCTTCTTCCTCTTCTTCTTCTTCTTCTTCCTTTGCCCTAATGAATTACACATGTGCTATTCTTACTCTTTTCCTCCTCTCTCGATGAAGAGACAGCGACCACCGTGGGCTTTGAAGGGTTTGCTGCACTTGGCAGAGTCATCTGTCGAGAGCAATGGACGTAGGGTTGATGTAAAAATAAGACACGGTAACAATAATCTACCACACTGGTAGCATGGGAAGTGATGGACATTGCACACATATGATAAACAATCATACTATCAATTAGTCTGTCTGCCTTATCCCCTCACCCCTCCTCTCTCTCTCTCTCTCTCTCTCTCTCTCTCTCTCTCTCTCTCTCTCTCTCGCACTTGCTCACAAACACGAAAGCACACAGACCTGTATACTCAATCAAAATCGTAAGATCATTATGAGTAATTATCAAGATATTCAAAGAATTGCATATTAAGTAAAAGCTTGAAATATTGTAAAACTCAAAATCTTCTGCGTCAAACGTCTCAAAACTACGTACTCTGAGCAGATCAAACGTTGTAATTCTGAGGTAGCGTTCTTGGATTGGTTGGAAAAAGGTTGTGTTTTGAATAATAAACTGGATCTCTCCTAGTTTGAATAATTGAAAGATGCAAATTTTGGGAAGTGGGGCAAAAGTCAGGATTCCTTTGTGGCTTGTCTTACCTGGCTCATTGGGAGAAGAACCGGGTTTTCCTGAAGAAAAAAAGAAACACACGTGGATTGCTTTCGAAAAAGTACAGATGTAAAAGTCCACTTCAAAATGCTGTCATGATCATCATTATCATCATCATTGTCAACATCATTATCGTTATAATCTTCAACAACATCACAGTCATTATCATCGCAGTTGTCATATTCGTTGTCACCATCATCATCAGAATAAAGATAGACTCGGGTTCATCAAAAGATAAAAGGGAACAGAGAAGAGCAGTGTACATATATATATATATATATATATATATATATATATATATGTGTGTGTGTGTGTGTGTGTGTGTGTGTGTGTGTGTGTGTGTGTGTGTGTGTGTGTGTCTGAGTGTGTGTGTGTGAGTGAGTAAACGTCCATTTACAGATCTGTTAATTTATCTCTCGGTCTCTCCATATTTCCACCTATTCATATATTAACCAGTTTCTCTCTTTAAATTTTAATGCGTTGTTAGCTTTCTAATTATCTGCCCTTCTACACTGACAACAGACAGACAGGCAAGAGGACAAAAGCGTGTGAGAATGAGAGAGAGAGAGAGAGAGAGAGAGAGAGGGAGAGAGAGAGAGAGAGAGAGAGAGAGAGAGAGAGAGAGAGAGAGAGAGAGAGAGAGAGAGAGAGAGAGTACGAAAACGTTATTCTATCTGGCCATAAAAATTTGTTATACATATACATTATACAAACTATTATGTTTCACATAGACACGTGCCCATTAATTTTTAAATTGTGATATCTTTAGGAACGAAATGCGCATTGAGCATTTTTTAAAATAGAAAATAGAAATGCCTTGAATGAAATTCTATTTATTATTATTATTATTATTATTATTATTATTATTATTATTATTATTATTATTATTATTATTATTATTGTTATTACGGTTATTACTGTTATTATTATTATTATTAATATTAATATTATTATTATAATCGGAAAACTCAGAGACAGATGCAACAAAATGTGACCCATACACAGGGTAGAGCTTTACCTTTGTCATAGCAGACTTCGAATTCTCCTTTGCAACCACCAGATACCCAGACCATCGGCCCATCAAAACCGTACGTGGCATCAAACTGGCAGCGACGTCTTGCAGCACGGTCCTTGGGTTTCTTACTCTCCACGAGTTCCATCTTGGTGACACGGATAGCTCTATCGATGATTCTTGAGTTGAACTTGGAACCTTTGCTTTTCAGTTTCTTTTTCTTACACACATTATCAGTCTCTGAAGAAATAAAAATGAGAAAAATGGAGACGTAACATGTGAAACAATAAACCATGTCAAACAGCTCTCCTCGCGATAAAATCGCTCACTTGTTCAATGTCAGTGAAGGAACAGTGTCGGGAAGATACTGTCAGCAGATGGTGACCCGCACGCACGGAAGTAACGGGCTGGAAACGCGTGCGAGCAACAGCAACAGATGCGCTCAAGAAAAGACACTTGTTCAAAACTGACACAGGTGGTGAGAGAGCCGAGATGCTCACTCATAGTATGACAAATATACCGGGCTGATTTGTACACGGTGGACAATTTCAGCTGTATTGCAGTAGATCAATTGGTTTGCTTAACAATTAGTCGTGAGGGGGTGGGGCATGGGCGTGGGGATGGCGTTTTTAAAACAGAACATGAGTACCAAATTATTGTGGAAATGGGTAGCGAGAGAGATATTGGTGGGCACGCCATGTATTGCCATTGTTTTGCATTCAGACTATAAAGGAAACGTAACCAACCTTGGGCGATTTTTGTCAGGGTTGCATTTTGCAGCCACCAATTCTTTGGCCAGGCATTTGCTTTATTTTTGCATTTTGATGTAGTTTACATTATAATAATATTTAGGTTTGGAGGTTAAGATTTATAACTTTACCACCAAAATGCATATTGATCTTCACGGCCAAAAATTATTGGTAGCATGGAGTCGTTTGAAACCAAATGCATTGCAGGATGTTGGTTTATTTCTAATTTCTAACGGTTTTTTTTCTTTTTTGGTTAGTTTCATCCTGCAGAGAAGCACAACTATTCTGGAGACATAAGAGCACCCATACCTATAAAAACCAGACCATTAGTTTTAATACGTGTTACAAACGCTTCAACACATACCAAAGCGGTTTTTCAGTAAACTGCATTAATTTCCAGCGCTTAACAGAAACTGAAGAAAAGAAAGCAGTTATCATCATTCGTATTTTACTCAACCTAATACAGTAAAAGAGTTGGCACAGAAAATTTTTTTTAGATCGGAAGGAAGAGTTACCATTGAAAGAATTAAAAGAAAAAAAAATTAGTCCAATTGTTTTTTCGTCTCGGTGTTTTTAGATTTACCCCTTTATTGGCAGATCCAACGGAATGACATTTCAAACGAACAGATAAAGGGTGTCCTTAACAGATAACAGGTTTTGGGATTTAGAGGGTTATTTTAAACTTTGGATATAAGCTCAAATGGTTTAGATCTGGATTGCATTCACCATAATGCGGAATAAACAGCCACTGAATATTTGGCGTAAAATTCTCGACAGGGTAGGGATCATAATCAATCTATAAAAACTGTCTCTGACATTTTTGTTTTTAAAAAGAAATTTAGTGAAAACAAACCTTTTTCTTTTGGCTTGTAGCAAACTTTGAATACTGCAAAGCAGTTGTTCTTCACCCAGGCCTTCTTTCCTTTAAAGCCAAAGGATTTATTCTTCTTGCACTTGCCCTTAGACTTTTCCTTCACCACCTTCATAGACTGGATTTTCTTGGCCTTTGAAAGTGTTTTCTGGTCTTTCTTTTTGTTTTTGCTTCGAAGTTGTAAATTTTGGCACTTATCTTCATCCTCATCTGAGAAAAAAGCGTATGTAAAAATGAATAGTGCTGGATACATCAACACATAACGTATATTCCTTTTAAAAGACTGGCCAACAGCTTTGATACTTATTACGACATTAAAATGTTAAACAAAACTTGCTCTTTTATGGTCAGGATTTAAACCACGTTTCTTGCCCTCAGCAGACCTAAAGACAAGAAAAGATTATCATCACACGTCATTTACACCCCCTTAGTGTTGTTCGAAACAACATTCATTGAACGATGTTGGTTTATTCATTTTTTTCCTTCAATTTTTGGGTGGTTTTTATTCTGCAAAGAACTGCAAATTATGTTCTGAAGAGCGCATTTTGAAAAATACCTGAGAAGTGTTGGCATCGACGAAAAAAAATGCTCCAAAAAATCATAACGCAATGTCAGGAATTACAAACGACAAAAATCATAGCCATTTTAACCAATAACTAAGGAGGCAAAAATTAAACCTTTATCGCCAACAGTAACGTGAAAGAAAATTATAGGTAGAGAAAATGAGTCTAGACTTATTCGAAGAACAGAAGGAGGTAGTACTTAAGAACGACGATATGTGTTACGACACAGTGGAATGAGGAACTCATCACATTTTGGATAAATGGTAAAATTAAGTACAATAAAGCTGATATTACAATATTATTGTTCTCAGGTTGGTATTTGAAATCCAGGGAGCAAAAGGGAAATAAATCAGGAATTTGTCTTTTTTATTTGAAACTTTGGATATGCATTCATATGGTTTAGTTATGGATTGATTCCAACACGATGCGGGGAAGAAAGCAAGTCACTGAATAACTCACAACATTCAATTAAACTAAAATAGTTAGAAGGATCGTTACAAGGGCTACATTTCTTTCTACACAGACTTAAGTTAAAACAAACCTTCATTGGGTTTTGGCTTGTAGCAAACTTTGAATACTGCACGGCAGTTGTTCTTCACCCAGACCTTCCTTCCTTTATAGCCAAAGGATTTATTCTTCTTGCATTTGCCCTTTGACAGTTCTTTCTTCATCTTCATTGACATGATTTTCTTGGCCTTTGAAAGAGTTTTCTGGTTTTTCTTTTTGTTTTTGCTTTCAAGTTGCAACGTTTTGCAATTATCTTCATTATCTTCTGAGAAAAAAAAAGTATAACAAATTATTAGTCCTCGATACATCAGTACATAACGTACACATCCATTAAAAATCTGGCCAATAGATTTTCTATGTGCAACGACAGTTTGAAGTAAAACAAAGTGTTTCTTTTTCGGTCAAAGTGTAAATCACATTTCTAGCCCTTTAAAATACTAAAGATAAGATAGGAGTTATCATATATTATTCAACCTTATACTTGAGAAGAGTTGACATTGAAAACAAAAATGTTTCTAAAAGATAGAAATAAACATCACCAATTATATGAGACAAAAATAATTTTTTAACCTTTTTTAAAACGGAGGTATTTATACGCCGCCATCAAAACAGTTTAGAAAGCTGGCTTTTAACCTAGCTGAGGGGTATACAATATCCCAGGAGTACGACCTGACTAAGAATTTTCTTCCCCTTTTAGTAATCAAACTCAGGTCGCCAGCGTACAGCGGCAAAGCGCCTAAATGACATTCCACAGACACGGGTCAAAAATCATTGCCACAGTAATTACTAACTCGACAAAACCCGAACCTTTCATGGCAACATTTTATACTTTTAAATGTTGGTGATCGACACGATATTTTGTTTAGATTATTTGGGAGGCGGGCTTCAATCCTGCCTACCAAGGCCAACTGGGATGGAGAGGGATACAACAGAAAGCAGAAAGACCGAATATACTCGATAAAAAATTCGCCCCAGTCGGGAATCAAAGTCATGACTCCTGCGTGCGACAGCGGTACGCCTTATCGCTACATCACGGCCCGGACACCAATATGATATAAGGCATTAACCATAGAGAGGCCTAGAAAGAAAGCAATTGTAAGGTGTGTTTAAATAACGGTTGGGGCGGGGTGAGTGCCCTTTAGAATTACACAGAATATCATTATATTATATTTTTGTACATTTTTTTTCTAAACAGAAAATAATAGGAGTATTAAATGCAGGAAGCAAAAGAAAACAGGTTTAGGGATTAGAATACGCACTAAAAATGTTTAGATTTGGGTTACAGCCGTCACAACACGGAGACATAGGCAAATCATTGAATAACTGGGACACAATGTTATGACCGTGCAAACGAGATGAACAAACTGTAAGGATTGTCTCTGATAGGTGAGCCTTATTTTGTTTTTTGCTAAGACTCAAGTAAAAACAAACCTTTATCGCCTTTTGGCTTGTAGCAAACTTTGAATACTGCTCTGCAGTTGTTCTTCACCCAGGCCTTCCTTCCTTTATAGCCAAAGGATTTATTCTTCTTGCACTTGCCCTTTGACAATTCTTTCTTCATCTTCATAGACTTAATTTTCTTGGCCTCTGAAAGAGTTTTCTGGTCTTTCTTTTTGTTTTTGCTTTGGAGTTGTAAAGTTTTGCATTTTCCTTTACTCTCATCTGAGAAAGAAAACAGACAAAATAAATGTACCGGAGACATAAGCACATTACGCACACACCTAAGTAAAGGCTGGCCAATACTTTTGATCCGTTCTACAAGAGTTAAGATGAAACAAAGTATGTTTTTTTACTGTCAAACGCAAACCACATTTTCGGCCCTCTAAAGACAGGAAGACAAAAATGGATTTGCCACCATGCATATTTTACTTAATCAAGTACTTGAGAAGAGTTGGCATCGTTGTATTTGCACGAGTTTTACGCCGCTCGCAACTGCATAATGGCATTATATGAGCGCGCGAAACACAAGTTGGTTGCATTGACAACAGTTCACTGCAGGGCTGGGCTCGGGTCAATAATCAAATTTTAAAATGTTAGAATATAAAAATTTGGTGTAAATATATTTCAAACTTTAAACAACTTTTTAAAATAACATAAACATTTTAAACAATTTTATTTCATTTTACAATTTCCCATAACGGCCTTAATAAAATCCAGAACTCTGCTGGGATCAACGACGGAAAACAGACTTTCCAATTTTTTGCATTTAAAATATTTCCTTCGGGTCTCTCCGAAGTCTAGACATTCGGTTAAAATGTGTCTAATGGTAAACTCTGTGCATCCGACACATAACGGCTTCTCATCTCTCTGAGGGAGGTATTTATGAGTTAGGGCCGTGTGTCCGATGCGTAATCGAGTAAAAATGACTTCGTCTCTTCTGGAGAGGCCCGAAGGATCTTGCGGTCCCAGCTTGGGCTTCATGTTGTAAAGTTTATTGTTTGTTCGTTTTTTCCAATGGGAATTGGCATCGAGGAAAACATGTTTCCAAAATGGGAAAGCAATGTCATTGTTGCAAACAGTAGCAATTATGGCCTTTGTAACAAATCAGTAACTCGGCAAAGAGGAAACCCTTAATGTCAACTACTGGACAACTATCAAAGAGAGGCACATAAAGAAAACTATTATATAACGTATAAAAAGACCAGATGGAATCTGTCCGTAAAGAAGACAATATAATTTAAATTTTCTCTATTTTTCGAATCCAAAAAATAAGTATGTGAAAAGCAGAGAGTAAAAGGGAACAGGTTCAGGGACTTTTATTTTACTATAAACTTCGGCTTTGTACTCAAATGGTTTAGATCTGGATTGCAACCCCCACAATTCATAGAAGAAAGTAAGTCAAATGAAAAGTGGCGCAAAATTTATGACAGTGCAGACGAGATGAACAAGCTATAATTAATATTGTCTAGGGTAGGTGAGCTGCATGTCTATTCACAAAGAATCATGTGAGAACAAACCTTCATCGGCGTTTGGCCCGAAACAAACTTTGAATACTGCATGACAGTTGTTCTTCACCCAGGCCTTCCTTCCTTTATAGCCAAAGGATTCACCTTTCTTGCATTTGCCTTTAGACAATTTTTCGATCATCTTCATAGACTTGATTTTCTTGGTCTTTGAAAGAGTTTTCTTGTCTTTCTTTTTGTTTTTGCTTTTGAGTGTTACAGTTTTGCAATTATCTTCATCCTCACCTGAGAAAACAACACAGGTAAATGTACTGAAGACATCAGCCCATAACATTGATAACCTGCCCAATACTTTTGATATAGACACGTGTTACAAGAGTTAGAGTAAAGCTTTTTTGTTGCCGCAAAGGTTTAAACCACATTTCAAGCGGTCTAAAAAAAGAAAAGTTTCGATATAAAAAAGCTATCATGTTGCGTATTTTACTCAATTTTTTACTTTAAAAGGCGCTGGAAGGATTGACTCGGATGTGTCTATTAAAAACGCAAGAGTATGTTTTTTTTTTCATGATCAAGACAAAATCATTGAATCTAAATATATTATTTTGCACTGTAGACGCAAGTGGTTTTAACTTCATTTAAATATTTTAAATTGAATTCTTATGAAGATTTACAGTCGAAAAAAAAATATTTTGAAAAACAAAATCTGAAGGCAGTGGCACCAACCACCGAAATGTACCACTACTATTTCCAAAGGAGACAATGCCTCAATAGTCAAACGTTAAAACAATAGTAATTTAAGGAGAGGCGATAGTAAAGAGAGTTTAAGATTGATAAAGAGTGTACAAAGAGAGTATTGAAAGAAAAGCTGAAAGTTGCCCTTATTGAAGAAAGATTATTTATTTAAGGATTTATTTCCGACCTAAAAATCTACGTAAAATACGGTGAGCCATAAAAAAAACAAGGAAGAAAGTAATTTAATAAAATAAAATAGTTCTGGTGCAAAATTCAGGAGATAGCACAAAAGACTTAGATGCTGGAAGGAATGATTCTGATAGATTATTTTGCATAATAGATCTAGAAAAAGGTGGTTTTAACATCATTTGCATTTTGTAAACCGAATCCTTTTGAAGATTTACAATCGAAAAAAAAATATTTCTGAAACAAAATCTGAAGGCAGTAGCACCAATTACCGAAAGTACCCCTACTATTTCCAAAGAAGACAAAGGCTCAATGGTCAAACGCAAAAACAACCGTGTTTTAAGGAGAGGCGATAGTAAATAGAGTTTCCGAATCCATAGGAAGATTTACATTCGAAAAATATATATTTCCAAAACAAAATCTGAAGGCAGTGGCACCTACCACTGAGAAGTACCGCTACTATTTCCAAAACAGACAATGCCTCACTGGTCAAACGTAAAGACAATCGTGGTTTTAGGAGAGATGATAGTAAAGAGAGTTTAAGATTGATAAAGAGTGTACAATGTATTGAAAGAAAAGCTGGAAGTTGGCCTTACTAAAGACAGATTATTTATTTAAGGATTTTTTTTCCGACCTAAAAATCTACGTAAAATGCGGTGAGGCGTGAAAAAATAAGGAAGAAAGTACTTCATAAAAATAGAGTTCTTCTGGTGCAAAATTCACGAGATAGCATAAAAGATTTAGAAGTTGGAAGAAATGATTCTAATAGATTAGTAGCTGCATCGTTTTCCAAGAATTTAAAAACAACAACACCCCAACAAACCTTTATCGCCTTTTGGCTTGTAGCAAACTTTGAATACTGCACGGCAGTTATTCTTCACCCAGGCCTTCTTTCCTTTAAAGCCAAAGGATTTGTTCTTCTTGCACTTGCCCTTTGACTTTTCTTCTTTCATCTTCATAGACTTGATTTTCTTGGCCTTTGAAAGAGTCTTCTGATCTTTCTTTTTGTTTTTGCTTTCAAGTGTTATAGATTTGCATTTCTCTTTACCGCCCTCGTTGTCATCGTCGTCGTCTGAAGAAATATCGAGAAAAAATATACTGGAGACATCGGCACCTAACAAAAATACCCTTTTAAAAGTTGACCAACTATTTTGGCTTTTGTATGAAGTACGCAAGAGTATGGTTTTTTTACGATCAAGACAAAATCGATATTTCATAGAATCTAAATAGATTATTGTGCACTATACATCTAGACAAAAGTGGTTTTAACATCATTTGCATGTTGTAAACCGAATCCTTTTGAAGATTTACAATCGAAAAAAATATATTTCTGAAACAAAATCTGAAGACAGTGGCACCAATTACCGAAAGTACCCCTACTATTTCCAAAGAAGACAAAGGCTCAATGGTCAAACGAAAAAACAACCGTGCTTTAAGGAGATGCGATAGTAAATAGAGTTTCCGAATCCTTAGGAAGATTTACAATCGAAAAATATATATTTCCAAAACAAAATCTGAAGGCAGTGGCACCTACCACTGAGAAGTACCGCTACTATTTCCAAAATAGACAATGCCTCACTGGTCAAACGTAAAGACAATCGTGGTTTTAGGAGAGACGATAGTAAAGAGAGTTTAAGATTGATAAAGAGTGTACAATGTATTGAAAGAAAAGCTGGAAGTTGGCCTTACTGAAGACAGATTATTGATTTAAGAATTTATTTTCCGAGCTAAAAATCTACGCAAAATGCGGTGAGGCCTGAGAAAACAAGGAAAAAAGTACTTCATAAAAATAGAGTTCTTCTGGAGCAAAATTCACGAGATAGCATAAAAGATGTAGAAGTTGGAAGAAATGATTCTGATAGATTAGTAGCTGCATCGTTTTCCAAGAATTTAAAAACAACAACACCCCAACAAACCTTTATCGCCTTTTGGCTTGTAGCAAACTTTGAATACTGCACGGCAGTTATTCTTCACCCAGGCCTTCTTTCCTTTAAAGCCAAAGGATTTGTTCTTCTTGCACTTGCCCTTTGACTTTTCTTCTTTCATCTTCATAGACTTGATTTTCTTGGCCTTTGAAAGAGTCTTCTGATCTTTCTTTTTGTTTTTGCTTTCAAGTGTTATAGATTTGCATTTCTCTTTACCGCCCTCGTCGTCGTCGTCGTCGTCGTCTGAAGAAATATCGAGAAAAATTATACTGGAGACATCGGCACCTAACAGAAAAACCCTATTAAAAGTTGACCAACTATTTTGGCTTTTGTATGAAGTACGCAAAAGTATGTTTTTTTTACGATCAAGACAAAATCGATATTTCATAGAATCTAAATAGATTATTGTGCACTATAGATCTAGACAAAAGTGGTTTTAACATAATTTGCATGTTGTAAACCGAATCCTTTTGAAGATTTACAATCGAAAAAAAATAATTTCCAAAACAAAATCTGAAGGCAGTGGCACCTACCACTGAGAAGTACCGCTACTATTTCCAAAATAGACAATGCCTCACTGGTCAAACGTAAAGACAATCGTGGTTTTAGGAGAGACGATAGTAAAGAGAGTTTAAGATTGATAAAGAGTGTACAATGTATTGAAAGAAAAGCTGGAAGTTGGCCTTACTGAAGACAGATTATTGATTTAAGAATTTATTTTCCGAGCTAAAAATCTACGCAAAATGCGGTGAGGCCTGAGAAAACAAGGAAAAAAGTACTTCATAAAAATAGAGTTCTTCTGGAGCAAAATTCACGAGATAGCATAAAAGATGTAGAAGTTGGAAGAAATGATTCTGATAGATTAGTAGCTGCATCGTTTTCCAAGAATTTAAAAACAACAACACCCCAACAAACCTTTATCGCCTTTTGGCTTGTAGCAAACTTTGAATACTGCACGGCAGTTATTCTTCACCCAGGCCTTCTTTCCTTTAAAGCCAAAGGATTTGTTCTTCTTGCACTTGCCCTTTGACTTTTCTTCTTTCATCTTCATAGACTTGATTTTCTTGGCCTTTGAAAGAGTCTTCTGATCTTTCTTTTTGTTTTTGCTTTCAAGTGTTATAGATTTGCATTTCTCTTTACCGCCCTCGTCGTCGTCGTCGTCGTCGTCGTCTGAAGAAATATCGAGAAAAATTATACTGGAGACATCGGCACCTAACAGAAAAACCCTTTTAAAAGTTGACCAACTATTTTGGCTTTTGTATGAAGTACGCAAAAGTATGGTTTTTTTACGATCAAGACAAAATCGATATTTCATAGAATCTAAATAGATTATTGTGCACTATAGATCTAGACAAAAGTGGTTTTAACATCATTTGCATGTTGTAAACCGAATCCTTTTGAAGATTTACAATCGAAAAAAAAATATTTCTGAAACAAAATCTGAAGGCAGTGGCACCAATTACCGAAAGTACCCCTACTATTTCCAGAGAAGACAAAGGCTCAATGGTCAAACGAAAAAACAACCGTAATTTAAGGAGATGCGATAGTAAATAGAGTTTCCGAATCCTTAGGAAGATTTACAATCGAAAAATATATATTTCCAAAACAAAATCTGAAGGCAGTGGCACCTACCACTGAGAAGTACCGCTACTATTTCCAAAATAGACAATGCCTCACTGGTCAAACGTAAAGACAATCGTGGTTTTAGGAGAGACGATAGTAAAGAGAGTTTAAGATTGATAAAGAGTGTACAATGTATTGAAAGAAAAGCTGGAAGTTGGCCTTACTGAAGACAGATTATTGATTTAAGAATTTATTTTCCGAGCTAAAAATCTACGCAAAATGCGGTGAGGCCTGAGAAAACAAGGAAAAAAGTACTTCATAAAAATAGAGTTCTTCTGGAGCAAAATTCACGAGATAGCATAAAAGATGTAGAAGTTGGAAGAAATGATTCTGATAGATTAGTAGCTGCATCGTTTTCCAAGAATTTAAAAACAACAACACCCCAACAAACCTTTATCGCCTTTTGGCTTGTAGCAAACTTTGAATACTGCACGGCAGTTATTCTTCACCCAGGCCTTCTTTCCTTTAAAGCCAAAGGATTTGTTCTTCTTGCACTTGCCCTTTGACTTTTCTTCTTTCATCTTCATAGACTTGATTTTCTTGGCCTTTGAAAGAGTCTTCTGATCTTTCTTTTTGTTTTTGCTTTCAAGTGTTATAGATTTGCATTTCTCTTTACCGCCCTCGTCGTCGTCGTCGTCGTCGTCGTCTGAAGAAATATCGAGAAAAATTATACTGGAGACATCGGCACCTAACAGAAAAACCCTTTTAAAAGTTGACCAACTATTTTGGCTTTTGTATGAAGTACGCAAAAGTATGGTTTTTTTACGATCAAGACAAAATCGATATTTCATAGAATCTAAATAGATTATTGTGCACTATAGATCTAGACAAAAGTGGTTTTAACATCATTTGCATGTTGTAAACCGAATCCTTTTGAAGATTTACAATCGAAAAAAAAATATTTCTGAAACAAAATCTGAAGGCAGTGGCACCAATTACCGAAAGTACCCCTACTATTTCCAGAGAAGACAAAGGCTCAATGGTCAAACGAAAAAACAACCGTAATTTAAGGAGATGCGATAGTAAATAGAGTTTCCGAATCCTTAGGAAGATTTACAATCGAAAAATATATATTTCCAAAACAAAATCTGAAGGCAGTGGCACCTACCACTGAGAAGTACCGCTACTATTTCCAAAATAGACAATGCCTCACTGGTCAAACGTAAAGACAATCGTGGTTTTAGGAGAGACGATAGTAAAGAGAGTTTAAGATTGATAAAGAGTGTACAATGTATTGAAAGAAAAGCTGGAAGTTGGCCTTACTGAAGACAGATTATTGATTTAAGAATTTATTTTCCGAGCTAAAAATCTACGCAAAATGCGGTGAGGCCTGAGAAAACAAGGAAAAAAGTACTTCATAAAAATAGAGTTCTTCTGGAGCAAAATTCACGAGAGAGCATAAAAGATGTAGAAGTTGGAAGAAATGATTCTGATAGATTAGTAACTGCATCGTTTTCCAAGAATTTAAAAACAACAACACCCCAACAAACCTTTATCGCCTTTTGGCTTGTAGCAAACTTTGAATACTGCACGGCAGTTATTCTTCACCCAGGCCTTCTTTCCTTTAAAGCCAAAGGATTTGTTCTTCTTGCACTTGCCCTTTGACTTTTCTTCTTTCATCTTCATAGACTTGATTTTCTTGGCCTTTGAAAGAGTCTTCTGATCTTTCTTTTTGTTTTTGCTTTCAAGTGTTATAGATTTGCATTTCTCTTTACCGCCCTCGTCGTCGTCGTCGTCGTCGTCTGAAGAAATATCGAGAAAAATTATACTGGAGACATCGGCACCTAACAGAAAAACCCTTTTAAAAGTTGACCAACTATTTTGGCTTTTGTATGAAGTACGCAAAAGTATGGTTTTTTTACGATCAAGACAAAATCGATATTTCATAGAATCTAAATAGATTATTGTGCACTATAGATCTAGACAAAAGTGGTTTTAACATCATTTGCATGTTGTAAACCGAATCCTTTTGAAGATTTACAATCGAAAAAAAAATATTTCTGAAACAAAATCTGAAGGCAGTGGCACCAATTACCGAAAGTACCCCTACTATTTCCAGAGAAGACAAAGGCTCAATGGTCAAACGAAAAAACAACCGTAATTTAAGGAGATGCGATAGTAAATAGAGTTTCCGAATCCTTAGGAAGATTTACAATCGAAAAATATATATTTCCAAAACAAAATCTGAAGGCAGTGGCACCTACCACTGAGAAGTACCGCTACTATTTCCAAAATAGACAATGCCTCACTGGTCAAACGTAAAGACAATCGTGGTTTTAGGAGAGACGATAGTAAAGAGAGTTTAAGATTGATAAAGAGTGTACAATGTATTGAAAGAAAAGCTGGAAGTTGGCCTTACTGAAGACAGATTATTGATTTAAGAATTTATTTTCCGAGCTAAAAATCTACGCAAAATGCGGTGAGGCCTGAGAAAACAAGGAAAAAAGTACTTCATAAAAATAGAGTTCTTCTGGAGCAAAATTCACGAGAGAGCATAAAAGATGTAGAAGTTGGAAGAAATGATTCTGATAGATTAGTAACTGCATCGTTTTCCAAGAATTTAAAAACAACAACACCCCAACAAACCTTTATCGCCTTTTGGCTTGTAGCAAACTTTGAATACTGCACGGCAGTTATTCTTCACCCAGGCCTTCTTTCCTTTAAAGCCAAAGGATTTGTTCTTCTTGCACTTGCCCTTTGACTTTTCTTCTTTCATCTTCATAGACTTGATTTTCTTGGCCTTTGAAAGAGTCTTCTGATCTTTCTTTTTGTTTTTGCTTTCAAGTGTTATAGATTTGCATTTCTCTTTACCGCCCTCGTCGTCGTCGTCGTCGTCGTCTGAAGAAATATCGAGAAAAATTATACTGGAGACATCGGCACCTAACAGAAAAACCCTTTTAAAAGTTGACCAACTATTTTGGCTTTTGTATGAAGTACGCAAAAGTATGGTTTTTTTACGATCAAGACAAAATCGATATTTCATAGAATCTAAATAGATTATTGTGCACTATAGATCTAGACAAAAGTGGTTTTAACATCATTTGCATGTTGTAAACCGAATCCTTTTGAAGATTTACAATCGAAAAAAAAATATTTCTGAAACAAAATCTGAAGGCAGTGGCACCAATTACCGAAAGTACCCCTACTATTTCCAGAGAAGACAAAGGCTCAATGGTCAAACGAAAAAACAACCGTCATTTAAGGAGATGCGATAGTAAATAGAGTTTCCGAATCCTTAGGAAGATTTACAATCGAAAAATATATATTTCCAAAACAAAATCTGAAGGCAGTGGCACCTACCACTGAGAAGTACCGCTACTATTTCCAAAATAGACAATGCCTCACTGGTCAAACGTAAAGACAATCGTGGTTTTAGGAGAGACGATAGTAAAGAGAGTTTAAGATTGATAAAGAGTGTACAATGTATTGAAAGAAAAGCTGGAAGTTGGCCTTACTGAAGACAGATTAATGATTTAAGAATTTATTTTCCGAGCTAAAAATCTACGCAAAATGCGGTGAGGCCTGAGAAAACAAGGAAAAAAGTACTTCATAAAAATAGAGTTCTTCTGGAGCAAAATTCACGAGATAGCATAAAAGATGTAGAAGTTGGAAGAAATGATTCTGATAGATTAGTAGCTGCATCGTTTTCCAAGAATTTAAAAACAACAACACCCCAACAAACCTTTATCGCCTTTTGGCTTGTAGCAAACTTTGAATACTGCACGGCAGTTATTCTTCACCCAGGCCTTCTTTCCTTTAAAGCCAAAGGATTTGTTCTTCTTGCACTTGCCCTTTGACTTTTCTTCTTTCATCTTCATAGACTTGATTTTCTTGGCCTTTGAAAGAGTCTTCTGATCTTTCTTTTTGTTTTTGCTTTCAAGTGTTATAGATTTGCATTTCTCTTTACCGCCCTCGTCGTCGTCGTCGTCGTCGTCTGAAGAAATATCGAGAAAAATTATACTGGAGACATCGGCACCTAACAGAAAAACCCTTTTAAAAGTTGACCAACTATTTTGGCTTTTGTATGAAGTACGCAAAAGTATGGTTTTTTTACGATCAAGACAAAATCGATATTTCATAGAATCTAAATAGATTATTGTGCACTATAGATCTAGACAAAAGTGGTTTTAACATCATTTGCATGTTGTAAACCGAATCCTTTTGAAGATTTACAATCGAAAAAAAAATATTTCTGAAACAAAATCTGAAGGCAGTGGCACCAATTACCGAAAGTACCCCTACTATTTCCAGAGAAGACAAAGGCTCAATGGTCAAACGAAAAAACAACCGTCATTTAAGGAGATGCGATAGTAAATAGAGTTTCCGAATCCTTAGGAAGATTTACAATCGAAAAATATATATTTCCAAAACAAAATCTGAAGGCAGTGGCACCTACCACTGAGAAGTACCGCTACTATTTCCAAAATAGACAATGCCTCACTGGTCAAACGTAAAGACAATCGTGGTTTTAGGAGAGACGATAGTAAAGAGAGTTTAAGATTGATAAAGAGTGTACAATGTATTGAAAGAAAAGCTGGAAGTTGGCCTTACTGAAGACAGATTAATGATTTAAGAATTTATTTTCCGAGCTAAAAATCTACGCAAAATGCGGTGAGGCCTGAGAAAACAAGGAAAAAAGTACTTCATAAAAATAGAGTTCTTCTGGAGCAAAATTCACGAGATAGCATAAAAGATGTAGAAGTTGGAAGAAATGATTCTGATAGATTAGTAGCTGCATCGTTTTCCAAGAATTTAAAAACAACAACACCCCAACAAACCTTTATCGCCTTTTGGCTTGTAGCAAACTTTGAATACTGCACGGCAGTTATTCTTCACCCAGGCCTTCTTTCCTTTAAAGCCAAAGGATTTGTTCTTCTTGCACTTGCCCTTTGACTTTTCTTCTTTCATCTTCATAGACTTGATTTTCTTGGCCTTTGAAAGAGTCTTCTGATCTTTCTTTTTGTTTTTGCTTTCAAGTGTTATAGATTTGCATTTCTCTTTACCGCCCTCGTCGTCGTCGTCGTCGTCGTCTGAAGAAATATCGAGAAAAATTATACTGGAGACATCGGCACCTAACAGAAAAACCCTTTTAAAAGTTGACCAACTATTTTGGCTTTTGTATGAAGTACGCAAAAGTATGGTTTTTTTACGATCAAGACAAAATCGATATTTCATAGAATCTAAATAGATTATTGTGCACTATAGATCTAGACAAAAGTGGTTTTAACATCATTTGCATGTTGTAAACCGAATCCTTTTGAAGATTTACAATCGAAAAAAAATAATTTCCAAAACAAAATCTGAAGGCAGTGGCACCTACCACTGAGAAGTACCGCTACTATTTCCAAAATAGACAATGCCTCACTGGTCAAACGTAAAGACAATCGTGGTTTTAGGAGAGACGATAGTAAAGAGAGTTTAAGATTGATAAAGAGTGTACAATGTATTGAAAGAAAAGCTGGAAGTTGGCCTTACTGAAGACAGATTAATGATTTAAGAATTTATTTTCCGAGCTAAAAATCTACGCAAAATGCGGTGAGGCCTGAGAAAACAAGGAAAAAAGTACTTCATAAAAATAGAGTTCTTCTGGAGCAAAATTCACGAGATAGCATAAAAGATGTAGAAGTTGGAAGAAATGATTCTGATAGATTAGTAGCTGCATCGTTTTCCAAGAATTTAAAAACAACAACACCCCAACAAACCTTTATCGCCTTTTGGCTTGTAGCAAACTTTGAATACTGCACGGCAGTTATTCTTCACCCAGGCCTTCTTTCCTTTAAAGCCAAAGGATTTGTTCTTCTTGCACTTGCCCTTTGACTTTTCTTCTTTCATCTTCATAGACTTGATTTTCTTGGCCTTTGAAAGAGTCTTCTGATCTTTCTTTTTGTTTTTGCTTTCAAGTGTTATAGATTTGCATTTCTCTTTACCGCCCTCGTCGTCGTCGTCGTCGTCGTCTGAAGAAATATCGAGAAAAATTATACTGGAGACATCGGCACCTAACAGAAAAACCCTATTAAAAGTTGACCAACTATTTTGGCTTTTGTATGAAGTACGCAAAAGTATGTTTTTTTTACGATCAAGACAAAATCGATATTTCATAGAATCTAAATAGATTATTGTGCACTATAGATCTAGACAAAAGTGGTTTTAACATCATTTGCATGTTGTAAACCGAATCCTTTTGAAGATTTACAATCGAAAAAAAAATATTTCTGAAACAAAATCTGAAGGCAGTGGCACCAATTACCGAAAGTACCCCTACTATTTCCAGAGAAGACAAAGGCTCAATGGTCAAACGAAAAAACAACCGTCATTTAAGGAGATGCGATAGTAAATAGAGTTTCCGAATCCTTAGGAAGATTTACAATCGAAAAATATATATTTCCAAAACAAAATCTGAAGGCAGTGGCACCTACCACTGAGAAGTACCGCTACTATTTCCAAAATAGACAATGCCTCACTGGTCAAACGTAAAGACAATCGTGGTTTTAGGAGAGACGATAGTAAAGAGAGTTTAAGATTGATAAAGAGTGTACAATGTATTGAAAGAAAAGCTGGAAGTTGGCCTTACTGAAGACAGATTAATGATTTAAGAATTTATTTTCCGAGCTAAAAATCTACGCAAAATGCGGTGAGGCCTGAGAAAACAAGGAAAAAAGTACTTCATAAAAATAGAGTTCTTCTGGAGCAAAATTCACGAGATAGCATAAAAGATGTAGAAGTTGGAAGAAATGATTCTGATAGATTAGTAGCTGCATCGTTTTCCAAGAATTTAAAAACAACAACACCCCAACAAACCTTTATCGCCTTTTGGCTTGTAGCAAACTTTGAATACTGCACGGCAGTTATTCTTCACCCAGGCCTTCTTTCCTTTAAAGCCAAAGGATTTGTTCTTCTTGCACTTGCCCTTTGACTTTTCTTCTTTCATCTTCATAGACTTGATTTTCTTGGCCTTTGAAAGAGTCTTCTGATCTTTCTTTTTGTTTTTGCTTTCAAGTGTTATAGATTTGCATTTCTCTTTACCGCCCTCGTCGTCGTCGTCGTCGTCGTCTGAAGAAATATCGAGAAAAATTATACTGGAGACATCGGCACCTAACAGAAAAACCCTTTTAAAAGTTGACCAACTATTTTGGCTTTTGTATGAAGTACGCAAAAGTATGGTTTTTTTACGATCAAGACAAAATCGATATTTCATAGAATCTAAATAGATTATTGTGCACTATAGATCTAGACAAAAGTGGTTTTAACATCATTTGCATGTTGTAAACCGAATCCTTTTGAAGATTTACAATCGAAAAAAAAATATTTCTGAAACAAAATCTGAAGGCAGTGGCACCAATTACCGAAAGTACCCCTACTATTTCCAGAGAAGACAAAGGCTCAATGGTCAAACGAAAAAACAACCGTCATTTAAGGAGATGCGATAGTAAATAGAGTTTCCGAATCCTTAGGAAGATTTACAATCGAAAAATATATATTTCCAAAACAAAATCTGAAGGCAGTGGCACCTACCACTGAGAAGTACCGCTACTATTTCCAAAATAGACAATGCCTCACTGGTCAAACGTAAAGACAATCGTGGTTTTAGGAGAGACGATAGTAAAGAGAGTTTAAGATTGATAAAGAGTGTACAATGTATTGAAAGAAAAGCTGGAAGTTGGCCTTACTGAAGACAGATTAATGATTTAAGAATTTATTTTCCGAGCTAAAAATCTACGCAAAATGCGGTGAGGCCTGAGAAAACAAGGAAAAAAGTACTTCATAAAAATAGAGTTCTTCTGGAGCAAAATTCACGAGATAGCATAAAAGATGTAGAAGTTGGAAGAAATGATTCTGATAGATTAGTAGCTGCATCGTTTTCCAAGAATTTAAAAACAACAACACCCCAACAAACCTTTATCGCCTTTTGGCTTGTAGCAAACTTTGAATACTGCACGGCAGTTATTCTTCACCCAGGCCTTCTTTCCTTTAAAGCCAAAGGATTTGTTCTTCTTGCACTTGCCCTTTGACTTTTCTTCTTTCATCTTCATAGACTTGATTTTCTTGGCCTTTGAAAGAGTCTTCTGATCTTTCTTTTTGTTTTTGCTTTCAAGTGTTATAGATTTGCATTTCTCTTTACCGCCCTCGTCGTCGTCGTCGTCGTCGTCTGAAGAAATATCGAGAAAAATTATACTGGAGACATCGGCACCTAACAGAAAAACCCTATTAAAAGTTGACCAACTATTTTGGCTTTTGTATGAAGTACGCAAAAGTATGTTTTTTTTACGATCAAGACAAAATCGATATTTCATAGAATCTAAATAGATTATTGTGCACTATAGATCTAGACAAAAGTGGTTTTAACATCATTTGCATGTTGTAAACCGAATCCTTTTGAAGATTTACAATCGAAAAAAAATAATTTCCAAAACAAAATCTGAAGGCAGTGGCACCTACCACTGAGAAGTACCGCTACTATTTCCAAAATAGACAATGCCTCACTGGTCAAACGTAAAGACAATCGTGGTTTTAGGAGAGACGATAGTAAAGAGAGTTTAAGATTGATAAAGAGTGTACAATGTATTGAAAGAAAAGCTGGAAGTTGGCCTTACTGAAGACAGATTAATGATTTAAGAATTTATTTTCCGAGCTAAAAATCTACGCAAAATGCGGTGAGGCCTGAGAAAACAAGGAAAAAAGTACTTCATAAAAATAGAGTTCTTCTGGAGCAAAATTCACGAGATAGCATAAAAGATGTAGAAGTTGGAAGAAATGATTCTGATAGATTAGTAGCTGCATCGTTTTCCAAGAATTTAAAAACAACAACACCCCAACAAACCTTTATCGCCTTTTGGCTTGTAGCAAACTTTGAATACTGCACGGCAGTTATTCTTCACCCAGGCCTTCTTTCCTTTAAAGCCAAAGGATTTGTTCTTCTTGCACTTGCCCTTTGACTTTTCTTCTTTCATCTTCATAGACTTGATTTTCTTGGCCTTTGAAAGAGTCTTCTGATCTTTCTTTTTGTTTTTGCTTTCAAGTGTTATAGATTTGCATTTCTCTTTACCGCCCTCGTCGTCGTCGTCGTCGTCGTCTGAAGAAATATCGAGAAAAATTATACTGGAGACATCGGCACCTAACAGAAAAACCCTATTAAAAGTTGACCAACTATTTTGGCTTTTGTATGAAGTACGCAAAAGTATGTTTTTTTTACGATCAAGACAAAATCGATATTTCATAGAATCTAAATAGATTATTGTGCACTATAGATCTAGACAAAAGTGGTTTTAACATCATTTGCATGTTGTAAACCGAATCCTTTTGAAGATTTACAATCGAAAAAAAAATATTTCTGAAACAAAATCTGAAGGCAGTGGCACCAATTACCGAAAGTACCCCTACTATTTCCAGAGAAGACAAAGGCTCAATGGTCAAACGAAAAAACAACCGTCATTTAAGGAGATGCGATAGTAAATAGAGTTTCCGAATCCTTAGGAAGATTTACAATCGAAAAATATATATTTCCAAAACAAAATCTGAAGGCAGTGGCACCTACCACTGAGAAGTACCGCTACTATTTCCAAAATAGACAATGCCTCACTGGTCAAACGTAAAGACAATCGTGGTTTTAGGAGAGACGATAGTAAAGAGAGTTTAAGATTGATAAAGAGTGTACAATGTATTGAAAGAAAAGCTGGAAGTTGGCCTTACTGAAGACAGATTAATGATTTAAGAATTTATTTTCCGAGCTAAAAATCTACGCAAAATGCGGTGAGGCCTGAGAAAACAAGGAAAAAAGTACTTCATAAAAATAGAGTTCTTCTGGAGCAAAATTCACGAGATAGCATAAAAGATGTAGAAGTTGGAAGAAATGATTCTGATAGATTAGTAGCTGCATCGTTTTCCAAGAATTTAAAAACAACAACACCCCAACAAACCTTTATCGCCTTTTGGCTTGTAGCAAACTTTGAATACTGCACGGCAGTTATTCTTCACCCAGGCCTTCTTTCCTTTAAAGCCAAAGGATTTGTTCTTCTTGCACTTGCCCTTTGACTTTTCTTCTTTCATCTTCATAGACTTGATTTTCTTGGCCTTTGAAAGAGTCTTCTGATCTTTCTTTTTGTTTTTGCTTTCAAGTGTTATAGATTTGCATTTCTCTTTACCGCCCTCGTCGTCGTCGTCGTCGTCGTCTGAAGAAATATCGAGAAAAATTATACTGGAGACATCGGCACCTAACAGAAAAACCCTATTAAAAGTTGACCAACTATTTTGGCTTTTGTATGAAGTACGCAAAAGTATGTTTTTTTTACGATCAAGACAAAATCGATATTTCATAGAATCTAAATAGATTATTGTGCACTATAGATCTAGACAAAAGTGGTTTTAACATCATTTGCATGTTGTAAACCGAATCCTTTTGAAGATTTACAATCGAAAAAAAATAATTTCCAAAACAAAATCTGAAGGCAGTGGCACCTACCACTGAGAAGTACCGCTACTATTTCCAAAATAGACAATGCCTCACTGGTCAAACGTAAAGACAATCGTGGTTTTAGGAGAGACGATAGTAAAGAGAGTTTAAGATTGATAAAGAGTGTACAATGTATTGAAAGAAAAGCTGGAAGTTGGCCTTACTGAAGACAGATTATTGATTTAAGAATTTATTTTCCGAGCTAAAAATCTACGCAAAATGCGGTGAGGCCTGAGAAAACAAGGAAAAAAGTACCTCATAAAAATAGAGTTCTTCTGGAGCAAAATTCACGAGATAGCATAAAAGATGTAGAAGTTGGAAGAAATGATTCTGATAGATTAGTAGCTGCATCGTTTTCCAAGAATTTAAAAACAACAACACCCCAACAAACCTTTATCGCCTTTTGGCTTGTAGCAAACTTTGAATACTGCACGGCAGTTATTCTTCACCCAGGCCTTCTTTCCTTTAAAGCCAAAGGATTTGTTCTTCTTGCACTTGCCCTTTGACTTTTCTTCTTTCATCTTCATAGACTTGATTTTCTTGGCCTTTGAAAGAGTCTTCTGATCTTTCTTTTTGTTTTTGCTTTCAAGTGTTATAGATTTGCATTTCTCTTTACCGCCCTCGTCGTCGTCGTCGTCGTCGTCTGAAGAAATATCGAGAAAAATTATACTGGAGACATCGGCACCTAACAGAAAAACCCTATTAAAAGTTGACCAACTATTTTGGCTTTTGTATGAAGTACGCAAAAGTATGTTTTTTTTACGATCAAGACAAAATCGATATTTCATAGAATCTAAATAGATTATTGTGCACTATAGATCTAGACAAAAGTGGTTTTAACATCATTTGCATGTTGTAAACCGAATCCTTTTGAAGATTTACAATCGAAAAAAAATAATTTCCAAAACAAAATCTGAAGGCAGTGGCACCTACCACTGAGAAGTACCGCTACTATTTCCAAAATAGACAATGCCTCACTGGTCAAACGTAAAGACAATCGTGGTTTTAGGAGAGACGATAGTAAAGAGAGTTTAAGATTGATAAAGAGTGTACAATGTATTGAAAGAAAAGCTGGAAGTTGGCCTTACTGAAGACAGATTATTGATTTAAGAATTTATTTTCCGAGCTAAAAATCTACGCAAAATGCGGTGAGGCCTGAGAAAACAAGGAAAAAAGTACCTCATAAAAATAGAGTTCTTCTGGAGCAAAATTCACGAGATAGCATAAAAGATGTAGAAGTTGGAAGAAATGATTCTGATAGATTAGTAGCTGCATCGTTTTCCAAGAATTTAAAAACAACAACACCCCAACAAACCTTTATCGCCTTTTGGCTTGTAGCAAACTTTGAATACTGCACGGCAGTTATTCTTCACCCAGGCCTTCTTTCCTTTAAAGCCAAAGGATTTGTTCTTCTTGCACTTGCCCTTTGACTTTTCTTCTTTCATCTTCATAGACTTGATTTTCTTGGCCTTTGAAAGAGTCTTCTGATCTTTCTTTTTGTTTTTGCTTTCAAGTGTTATAGATTTGCATTTCTCTTTACCGCCCTCGTCGTCGTCGTCGTCGTCTGAAGAAATATCGAGAAAAATTATACTGGAGACATCGGCACCTAACAGAAAAACCCTTTTAAAAGTTGACCAACTATTTTGGCTTTTGTATGAAGTACGCAAAAGTATGGTTTTTTTACGATCAAGACAAAATCGATATTTCATAGAATCTAAATAGATTATTGTGCACTATAGATCTAGACAAAAGTGGTTTTAACATCATTTGCATGTTGTAAACCGAATCCTTTTGAAGATTTACAATCGAAAAAAAAATATTTCTGAAACAAAATCTGAAGGCAGTGGCACCAATTACCGAAAGTACCCCTACTATTTCCAGAGAAGACAAAGGCTCAATGGTCAAACGAAAAAACAACCGTCATTTAAGGAGATGCGATAGTAAATAGAGTTTCCGAATCCTTAGGAAGATTTACAATCGAAAAATATATATTTCCAAAACAAAATCTGAAGGCAGTGGCACCTACCACTGAGAAGTACCGCTACTATTTCCAAAATAGACAATGCCTCACTGGTCAAACGTAAAGACAATCGTGGTTTTAGGAGAGACGATAGTAAAGAGAGTTTAAGATTGATAAAGAGTGTACAATGTATTGAAAGAAAAGCTGGAAGTTGGCCTTACTGAAGACAGATTATTGATTTAAGAATTTATTTTCCGAGCTAAAAATCTACGCAAAATGCGGTGAGGCCTGAGAAAACAAGGAAAAAAGTACTTCATAAAAATAGAGTTCTTCTGGAGCAAAATTCACGAGATAGCATAAAAGATGTAGAAGTTGGAAGAAATGATTCTGATAGATTAGTAGCTGCATCGTTTTCCAAGAATTTAAAAACAACAACACCCCAACAAACCTTTATCGCCTTTTGGCTTGTAGCAAACTTTGAATACTGCACGGCAGTTATTCTTCACCCAGGCCTTCTTTCCTTTAAAGCCAAAGGATTTGTTCTTCTTGCACTTGCCCTTTGACTTTTCTTCTTTCATCTTCATAGACTTGATTTTCTTGGCCTTTGAAAGAGTCTTCTGATCTTTCTTTTTGTTTTTGCTTTCAAGTGTTATAGATTTGCATTTCTCTTTACCGCCCTCGTCGTCGTCGTCGTCGTCGTCTGAAGAAATATCGAGAAAAATTATACTGGAGACATCGGCACCTAACAGAAAAACCCTTTTAAAAGTTGACCAACTATTTTGGCTTTTGTATGAAGTACGCAAAAGTATGGTTTTTTTACGATCAAGACAAAATCGATATTTCATAGAATCTAAATAGATTATTGTGCACTATAGATCTAGACAAAAGTGGTTTTAACATCATTTGCATGTTGTAAACCGAATCCTTTTGAAGATTTACAATCGAAAAAAAAATATTTCTGAAACAAAATCTGAAGGCAGTGGCACCAATTACCGAAAGTACCCCTACTATTTCCAGAGAAGACAAAGGCTCAATGGTCAAACGAAAAAACAACCGTCATTTAAGGAGATGCGATAGTAAATAGAGTTTCCGAATCCTTAGGAAGATTTACAATCGAAAAATATATATTTCCAAAACAAAATCTGAAGGCAGTGGCACCTACCACTGAGAAGTACCGCTACTATTTCCAAAATAGACAATGCCTCACTGGTCAAACGTAAAGACAATCGTGGTTTTAGGAGAGACGATAGTAAAGAGAGTTTAAGATTGATAAAGAGTGTACAATGTATTGAAAGAAAAGCTGGAAGTTGGCCTTACTGAAGACAGATTATTGATTTAAGAATTTATTTTCCGAGCTAAAAATCTACGCAAAATGCGGTGAGGCCTGAGAAAACAAGGAAAAAAGTACTTCATAAAAATAGAGTTCTTCTGGAGCAAAATTCACGAGATAGCATAAAAGATGTAGAAGTTGGAAGAAATGATTCTGATAGATTAGTAGCTGCATCGTTTTCCAAGAATTTAAAAACAACAACACCCCAACAAACCTTTATCGCCTTTTGGCTTGTAGCAAACTTTGAATACTGCACGGCAGTTATTCTTCACCCAGGCCTTCTTTCCTTTAAAGCCAAAGGATTTGTTCTTCTTGCACTTGCCCTTTGACTTTTCTTCTTTCATCTTCATAGACTTGATTTTCTTGGCCTTTGAAAGAGTCTTCTGATCTTTCTTTTTGTTTTTGCTTTCAAGTGTTATAGATTTGCATTTCTCTTTACCGCCCTCGTCGTCGTCGTCGTCGTCTGAAGAAATATCGAGAAAAAATATACTGGAGACATCGGCACCTAACAGAAACACCCTTTTAAAAGTTGACCAACTATTTTGGCTTTTGTATGAAGTATGCAACGCAAAAGTATGGTTTTTTTACGATCAAGACAAAATCGATATGGTTTTACGGCGCTCGCAACTGCTTAGGTCATATGAGCGCGCATGGTTTTTTTTAAAGATCAAGACATGTTGTAAACCGAATCCTTTATAAGATTTACAATCGAAAAAAAATATTTCTGAAACAAAATCTGAAGGCAGTGGCACCAATTACCGAAAGTACCCCTACTATTTCCAGAGAAGACAAAGGCTCAATGGTCAAACGTAAAAACAACCGTGTTTTAAGGAGAGGCGATAGTAAATAGAATTTCCGAATCTTTAGGAAGGTTTACAATCGAAAAATATATATTTCCAAAACAAAATCTGAAGGCAGTGGTACCTACCACTAAGAAGTACCCCTACTATTTCCAAAATAGACAATACCTCACTGGTCAAACGTAAAGACAATCGTGGTTTAAGGAGAGACGATAGTAAAGAGAGTTTAAGATTGATAAAGAGTGTACAATGTATTGAAAGAAAAGCTGGAAGTTGGCCTTACTGAAGACAGATTATTGATTTAAGAATTTATTTTCCGAGCTAAAAATCTACGCAAAATGCGGTGAGGCCTGAGAAAACAAGGAAAAAAGTACTTCATAAAAATAGAGTTCTTCTGGAGCAAAATTCACGAGATAGCATAAAAGATGTAGAAGTTGGAAGAAATGATTCTGATAGATTAGTAGCTGCATCGTTTTCCAAGAATTTAAAAACAACAACACCCCAACAAACCTTTATCGCCTTTTGGCTTGTAGCAAACTTTGAATACTGCACGGCAGTTATTCTTCACCCAGGCCTTCTTTCCTTTAAAGCCAAAGGATTTGTTCTTCTTGCACTTGCCCTTTGACTTTTCTTCTTTCATCTTCATAGACTTGATTTTCTTGGCCTTTGAAAGAGTCTTCTGATCTTTCTTTTTGTTTTTGCTTTCAAGTGTTATAGATTTGCATTTCTCTTTACCGCCCTCGTCGTCGTCGTCGTCGTCGTCTGAAGAAATATCGAGAAAAATTATACTGGAGACATCGGCACCTAACAGAAAAACCCTTTTAAAAGTTGACCAACTATTTTGGCTTTTGTATGAAGTACGCAAAAGTATGGTTTTTTTACGATCAAGACAAAATCGATATTTCATAGAATCTAAATAGATTATTGTGCACTATAGATCTAGACAAAAGTGGTTTTAACATCATTTGCATGTTGTAAACCGAATCCTTTTGAAGATTTACAATCGAAAAAAAAATATTTCTGAAACAAAATCTGAAGGCAGTGGCACCAATTACCGAAAGTACCCCTACTATTTCCAGAGAAGACAAAGGCTCAATGGTCAAACGTAAAAACAACCGTGTTTTAAGGAGAGGCGATAGTAAATAGAATTTCCGAATCTTTAGGAAGGTTTACAATCGAAAAATATATATTTCCAAAACAAAATCTGAAGGCAGTGGTACCTACCACTAAGAAGTACCCCTACTATTTCCAAAATAGACAATACCTCACTGGTCAAACGTAAAGACAATCGTGGTTTAAGGAGAGACGATAGTAAAGAGAGTTTAAGATTGATAAAGAGTGTACAATGTATTGAAAGAAAAGCTGGAAGTTGGCCTTACTGAAGACAGATTAATGATTTAAGAATTTATTTTCCGAGCTAAAAAT